CCTTTCCTATCGAGCAGGTCGCAGATGGTGGCAAACTCCCAGATGGCACCATTTGAGCAAACAGCTGTGGCGTGGTGTGCTAGGCATTTCGCCAGGTTCCTTTTTATTGGAGGAGTACGACACTAAAGTGCCTGTATCGACCCGCAGATGTTATTTTTCTGTGAACATTTAGTTCCAGGGTTCCATCTAACCTTCTTACCGACAGAACATCAAGAAATGGAATATTGTCATTCTTCTCTTCCATTGTGAAGTTGATTGCCCGATGAACACTACTGAACTTATTGAGGACACCATCCCCATCAATCTCGCTCTCGAGAAATGTATAGGTATCATCCGTTTAACGATGATACAATTCTAAACGGCCAACAGTTTCTTTCAGTGGGCTATTCTCTAGCTTTGCCTGAAACAATTTGCCAACAGTGAGCGACGGCACGACTTCATGGCTAAACCATCAGACTGCCTGTAGATTTCATCACTGAAACGAAATCGTGCTTTCATTGTGCACTTCAGGGGTAGTTCTTTCAGTATGCAGACCGGAATAACTATTTCCATGCAGCGCCCCGTAAGTTCGTTGCAAGTCAAGCCCGCCGTCTCCAATAAAGGAACGTCGGTAAAAAGAGGCGAAACATCACACGATTCTTGCACTTACATCTATGTGCCTGTTTTGCACTTAACGACTGCCATCAGTGAAAATAATTACGCACAAGCGGTGTCAGACTGAAATAAAAATAATGTTGTTCATACTGTTGATGACGTTGCTGGCTGGCGGCGTAACTGTAGAATGATTCCGCAAAAGGGCTCACGTAAGATTTTCAGGTGGTTCCTAACCACATGTTAATTGACAGATGTGGCGATGGAATGCTAGTAATATCTATCCACTGAAACCATACGTGGAAAGGACAGCCAATTAATTTTACAGTCGGTTGCTGTTCGTGAGGTAAAGAAACCTCATTCACTCGCCCTACTATCGAATACGAAATATTTGTGGAGCAGACTGAGCACAAGTCGAACTCTATTTTTGAAAAGGTAGGCTGGCGGAAAACGGCTATCTAGCCGAACTGTCGACGAGAATATGTGGGAAATGCGTACAGAATCAGTCGTCAACCCAATTTATTAAGGGGCTTTCCTCGCCAATCCGGGCTTTTAAGGTTATTTAGTCGCAGATATTCTGAAAAATCATCTTTCGAAAGCAGTTGGTGGGACTTTCTGCGCTGCCAAACTTCACCTGAGCTTTACCGACCACAGACGGTCCTCCGTTCGTGCAAATGGCAATACCCCTGAACGAGCCACCTCCATGCACCCCCAAACGTTCACCCGCTCCGATGGAGCAGGGTACATCGGTTGTGAGTAAATATACAGTAACATATTTCACTCTGGCGTTGTAAGGGTGAAAGGAAGTGTGCTAGAAGTTCGATCCCTGAACATATAATAGATTCTAGCCATTCAATTAATCCAATACAATGGTCTTTGACTGTCTGTCGAATTCACTCAAATGTCGCATGCTTCCTCCGCCTTCAACCCCTAAAGACAGCAGAGGCCTTGGTTATCCTCAGGCTGAAGCCTGATCATTGTGTGCAAGCGACGTGCGTACAGTTTCTTTCTCTACCCCGGCCCTAACTTAGTTTCATATTGGTTTGTTCTGGGCCGTTTGTCTGACTTCTTCCCTCGTCAGATTGATCTCTGCACTCTTTCATCGTTATTGTCAGTATTGTTTTTATACCTAGAAGCTTCCGACGTTACTTTGTTTGGTATTCCCCGAAACCGCAACTTCTAACAAAATATTCTCTTACGGGAACAGATGGGCCTCTAGCAATGAAGGGCTGAGGGAAGTTAAAATCAACTGCGTAAAGAACCTGAGGTAAGCCCAAATCTAGAGCTCCCCTGATGGATTATATCATGTTGCTGTTGAGCGTAGTGGGGGCTTCTGAACCTCGGCACTAGGCTCCAGTCAAGCAAGAGCTCCCATGACGCCCCAGGTACTTTGTCCATGTGCTTCCGATGTGGTTGACAGTATGTGGACATCATCAAGAACATACGGTGATATGTCGCCACCTTTACAAACCACAAGCTTACCTGTCTTCATACTGTAACACCCTGTTATAAGTGGCGTGACATCGTAATCCTTCGCTGCCCAGGCCCCAGTAACTGCCACTACATCAAGACGTCGCCCATAGTCTAACGCCTCGGGGTCTACATTATGTTTCCAACAATGCCAACATTGGTGTAAACTGCATTCACAGTGTATGAGAAGTCCCACGACTCATCCACATAGATTTTGGAAGCATTCGTTCCTGAGACCTCATGACCCGAGAACCTACAGTTCAAGATTATTTTGTAGACTGATTTGCTGAAGTAGCAACCTCTCCTCTTCCTTTTATTTGGCCTTCAGGAGGCCAGCCCAGCCGGATGCAGATGCCGGAATTTCTATGTCTGGATGCGTGATTCAGAGGTGCGCTCACCTATATTTGTTTGCCTGGATTATTCTTTGCAATCCCCCCGTCATTAGGTTTTCCTTTTTCCCATAGCCTGACTGCTCCAGAGATGTGTACTCGCTTAGGCGACCCACGTGGGATATGAACCATTTGAACCATCATGTCTTATGGCCGCCCCGGCCAGCTTCAGGCCTTGCATATAACGTTTCGAAAGACCTTTGCCCACTGATTCCCCAACATTTCACAAGATCATGCCGGATGCTGGTGGGAAATCCTCAGATCTTGAGTTGATGGCCTATGTAGCTTTCTCAGCAGGTTTCATAACGTTAGTAATTTCGGAGATAATCTAGGAAGATTTCTTCGAATTACGTCTTGGAGAAATCTAGTCGCATTCACCGATCGCCTTCATAGAGTCGACGCTGTTAACAGAGACGCAGTCTTCGGTGGATACTTGAGCATCTTAGTTGATGTACCAGTCACCATCAGTTTCCTTTTACGTCAGCTGCAAGTTACGCATCCTAGGTGGTTAAACAGTCAGTATGCAGCGTTGGTTCACCTTAAGGCCTCACGTTAGACGCATTTGCAATAACATTTGTAGCGCCCACGCATAACTTTACACCCTATCGTTACTTAATTATTCAGAGCTCAAACTGTATTCCCAGGGAGTTGAGATTTTGGAATTTTCATGCAACTAGTTACCCTCGCGAATTTTTAAAAGCAGGAACAACAAAAATTGCAAGGAGAGTCGGATTCATTTTGTCTGCCCTAAATCTACAAACGCACCAAATTCAAAATTTTGTACGGTAATTTATCGGTGTTCCGCACAAGTCATTTGATACACTTCGGCAGAAGAAAACACCAAATACATTTCTTAAGCCCAAACATCGATGCATGCGTTTGAGAACATAGATGAATGATAATGTTCACTATCTAAATAACCAAGACAGGGGACGAATGACAGTAAATCAGACTTTAAATCGACCAGTAAACAGTCAGCAAAGTACGGCATGACAGCGGTATAGGAATGTGATTACAGCCCAAGGCGGTAGAGATTCTAATGGTGGGGGACGACAAAATAGCATGCAAAGTATGTTAGTTAACGGTAGATGAATGAAAGAGGGCTTGCTGACAAACAATAAAAATATAACGGGATAACAACTGGAAATGTTGATAATAAACGCCGTTTGCATCCGAACATGCAAGTTCTTCCGCCCCTGACAGCCACTCACCTGGAAACTAGGCTGACGGAAAGCGACCTCATATGACGCGCCGACCTCGAGGTCTTACTGGGTAGTTTGATGCCGAGATCTCATATGCTCTCCACCGTCATATGACAATATTCGATATACAATATACACCAATAGATTGCATGACTCACTATTGCAGGATACCTCTCGTACTGAGAGGTGGTACCCTCAGTACTTTTCAATGCTGCTGTTTAACGATGTCGCCTTTGTCTAATATCTGTGACCAGCAGTATCTAGACAACTGTTTACTACAGAAGACTGTGTAGCACGACGACTTGTTTCTTTCTAAGCCTTTACAGCTTCAATAGGGAAAAAACATTCAGATATTGCCTGTAAAATGGCATGTGTTCGTGTGGTTCATTGTTCGAAATATGTTACTGCCACTATAAAAAATGATAGAAATATGAATAATGTTTAATAATAATATGCAAGACGATAAGATGAGAGAATAAAATAGTAGACAAAGCTGTAGGAAAAGAACAGCTCACCAAGGGAAAGTGAGGTAAACCACAAAGTCCTTCTGTACACATAAGCTTGATTTCAGTCGACGGATTACTGCTGCTTCTGCACAACGTAGCAATCTACTGTTTCTTTGTTTACTGATCACCTTAAATCTATGTTGCGCACCTTCGTGGGCTGGGAATGACAGTGGAGTCGAATCCTAAGACTACCGCTTACCATGTTACGCAAAGTCCAGTTAAAGACATCACTGCGACCGCACTTGAACTGAAACACACAGTCAGAGTTGGGCCGGAAAGACTTGAGTTGTGATAGCACAACAAAAGCCATCAACTACTAAATAGGATTGAAATGTTAACCCGCTAGGAAACAAAAAGTTTCCAGAAAATAAACTCAAGCCTCAAGGTGATGAAGATTTAACGACCAACTGAACAACTTAAAGTCAAGATCTATAACAAAACCTATGATATGAATTAAGTAAAAAAATCCGGCATGTCAAAAGCGTGCACATTTTCACCTCTTGATATCAAAGCTCGTGCGTGATACTCTTGTTAGCCGCCCCTTCGGTGAACACTCTCGGGGCGAAAATGGATTTTCAAAGTGATTTAAGCTGTTAGAATTAGTAGAGGATGCTTGACCTTGTATTTCTGAACTACGAAAAGTGAAACTGAATAGAATATGCTAACAAACACGGTAAAACCACACTTCACTTGGAATGCGTTTCTTACACCTTTTAGTGACGTATGATGCATAAAAAAGTTCAAAGTTGCGCATGATGTTGAACAAAACAAGAATCTTTTGTCTGTTATCCCAATCCTGAAGATTGAAGAATTCTCATTACTTATTGAAGTATTCGATTGATGGCCTTCGCGGCCTTTGTAAAAACCTTTTAAAGTCGTAGGCGAAGTGACCTACTTCGTTTATGGGCTCTAGGGCATGGTAAATCAGATAAGAAATATGGCCTGTCGACATGTCCAAAATATGGTACAGAGTGTCTCTAAATGCTCAGGAACTGAGGCGCTGTATTCACCAATCATTGATACTGGCTCTGACTCACCATCTAGTTCCGTCAGTGTTTCTAAAAGCCATAAAATGTCAGGGCATCTGGAGAAAAATTCCGATCCCCATCCAGAAGCTGATGGAATGTGTCAAAGGAAAAGTTGTGTTTCACCCCATATCTCTCATCCTTGTGATTTTCACTGCGAAGAAAGCCAGCTTTTACCTGTTAAATGCTCACAGGCAAAAAGGATTGCTCATGAAGGTAGTTTATCCATTATTCTAATTTTTCCAGATGTAGATGATCGTCAGTCTCCCAACGACTATTTGTGGCAGAAATTGGAAGCGTTGATTGACCAGATGATCTCTGAGGAGGATGGAATCCCAGTTCGTAATGTGAAAAGTCTTATGTCAGTAATTCCCAGTACATTCACAGGTTAGTTCCTCTTAAGGTCGTACATCTCTCTCCATGTTTCCTGACGAAACTATTGGTGGCGGGAATGAAATTCTGGTTAGATATCCTTTTTCATACATACTCTTGTACGTTCGTGTATTGTTGACAGAATTCAGCGATTGAAGTCTCTAAATGATATCGTTCAGAATTGGTTTCAGTGGCGCAAATTTGTTCATACATTGTCTCCATTTCAGTCGTCTTACTGAATTTCAGTATTCCATATTAGATTTATTTATTTGATTTGTAACACAGTGGTACAATATTATTTACTTGGTAATCTTCTGAGCATACATAATTGCTCATACTCATATCAGTGTGATCGCACTACGCTTGATAGATAGTTTTTGTAGTCCTTTTACTCCCAACAAAAACATAATATGCAGTGACAAGACTAAAGATGAGATGTTGAGTATAGTGTGATCACATTGATTTGATTATGAGCAATCATTTATGCTCGAAACATCATGAGGTAAATAATGCTGTATCACTGTGTGTTGCAAATCAAATAAAAAAATCTAATTTGTAATTACATTCTACCACAATGCCCAAGTTTCACACTTATATTAATAGATTTCAATAATGTTTCTCTCCAAATTACTCCTCTTTGACAACTCTCTACCATCCTCAATTACTTTATTTCCTAATCTTTCACCTTGATACATTTTCGCTTGATGCACTGATATGAGGTAGGGACAATTCGGACCACTGCTCAGTAATGCCTGGTCCCATATGTATATTGTCTGTCTGGCTGTATTGCTGATTAATGATTGGTCTTAGTTTACATTAAAGACGCACTGGAATCCAACTTGTTTTATAAAAGTGTTTATTTACTTATCACTCCAGTACAGATTCAGTGTAATTTATAGGTTTTCAACCGTGAATAGGAACATTTTACTTCCATTTCAAGTATAACCCATCCTAGTACTCACTCAAACTGAAAATATTCAAACAAACCACTTTCATTTTCATTGTGGTTTATTCATACCCTACTGTGTATTTGTGTGAGTCATCACTTGTCCCTGAGGTAGACAGGTATCTTTGCGTGAAAAAAGTCTCCACCTGTTTTTATAACACAAACTATCAGTAAAGAGGAGTCTTTAACTCGATTGACTCGATTAGTCGAGTTAATGACTATAACTGGTTATAGTTGTATCTTTTGCCAGCATTCTAACGTTCTTCATAGAACGTTGTTTTTTGATATACATAAAAAAGTACTGGTAACAGTAATATTAATGACACTTTTAGAATTGCCTCCTTATTTCTACAGCCTCCCGTTACAGCGGTCTTATCTAATCCACCCAAAAAGTGTTTGAAAACGCTACCATTTCCCAAAAACGTATTCAAAATTATTTATATGTCTGGTGCTAAAAATTACCTATAACCAAGTATATGCGATCTATGCTGTTTATAACATTCACTGAAAACCAGGTTACTTCAGTCATTTTATTGTCTGTCTTTATAGAGATGTAGGTTATCGGTTTAAGAACTCGACTTCCAAGCATTAGATAGTAAATTAAGACACTGCTGCACCTACTTCAGTCTGATCGGTCTGGTTGTATCACTAACTTACACAAATGTCTCATAGCTCAACACGGAGTTGTATCATATTACTTTTGCAGATGCCATAAACATCCTATCACTATTGTAATTCACTTTCATGCCAGTCCGTGAATACGATGGTGTTTGTCTTCAGTGTTAATCTGATTTGTGAGTGACCTCGACATGGAGCTAGTTGATATAGTCTGCGACCCTTATGGCATCACTAACCAGATCATAACGAAGTCCTTACGTATTTCAAACAAACAGTCACCAAATATTGTTGCAATATTTCGATGTAGCAACTATAAGTTTATTTCCATGCTTCTCATAACTCAGTCAACATCAGAACTAGGGACTTCAAGTACCTGGCAGGTCCCAAAAATATCAGCTTGTGCATGTCCGAAATCCCAACTGCTAGTTTACCGTCTTTATAGTAGCTTACAACTAGGTTTAAGGTTAGTCATGCTAGGTTTCGTGTGCGTCTTCGTTTAAATGTATTCATCATTATCTACTCAAACGGCATCTATTTATTAATCCTCAGATTACTGCATGAGTTCAGGTGAAGTCTTTAGTACATATGATATCTAAAGTTCTTTCGGATTGTCGATCGTGCCACTTTTTTTAGATTTGTAGCCATATACGTACTCATTAGGTTCTTATTTGATTACTGCATAGATCATAGGTAATTCCTTTGTTCATTATCCTCATTTTATTTACTAACACACTAACTATACTTATCTTCCTTCTTGCTTAATTCTAGGTAGTGATATTGTTCATTGGCTAATGGAACACACCGGTGCCAGTGATGTAACTGAAGCTGTTCATCTTGCTAGTCGAATCGCTTCTATGGGCTACATCTTTTGCATTGATGATCATGTACTGACAGTAAAAAATGATGGGCATACCTATTACAGATTTCAAACTCCTTTTCTTTATCCAAGTCGGTGCATGGAAGCAGATACTGCAGACTATGCTGTTTATCTATGTAAGCGTACTATGCAAAATAAACAAAGGCTGGAGTTGGCTGGGTTTGAAGCTGAACGCTTGGCTAGTTTACAAAATATTTACTGTCATAAATGGGAATTCATATATATACAGGTTGGTTAATTTAGTGATTGGATTTCTGAGTTTCTTAGTAAATGCGCACTAGGTTACAAATCACATTTCGTACTGGGATTTTAAAATTTTGTCCTAATATCTAGGCCTATGCGGATTTTAACATCTGACCTATTTCTTGGAAGTCGAATATCTACGACACTGGACCACTACTTCATTAATACTAGTTCACTGAATCAAGGCATTTGTGGACAAGCAATTGATGCTTCGCCTCTGTCTACATAGTTTGGATAACTTAATTATCAGGCATATTTTATTTGAAAAATGTGATGTATTTGCACCATGTATTTCAAACAATCTGATTATACGGAAGGACAAATATGACAGTAAGGAATGTAATAATAAGAAAATTAATTGAAGAAAATAGAAAATCTTTGAAACCAACCATGGAAATAGGATAGGATAAACATTACCAAGGTACGTTTAGTGTAAGGAGAAACCGTTTTGAACACACACATGAGGTTTAAATTTGTGTATAGCTAGCACTTCAGCAAATCTAAGTATATGCCCCTGATAGATTCCATATGTTATTATGGAGGCTGTTTTGATATCAATCCTGTGACCTTTATCAACAGCGTGTTTTCAGTGAATAACAATGGTTGTCTCCCACCTATGCTTATCGATGTCTGTGAATCCAGCTACTTTTTTAGCCAGCTTATTACATCTCTCATCACTCTGAGTGCACATTTCGATTAATTCTCTCGATTTATGTGCCCGCATACATGTAAACGCATTGTGATGTGGCGCAATCGTGTATACAGTTATGAAATGTGTACCGAAACATGTGTTGGATAATCTCAACTACAACAGACCTAGTTGTATAATGTTTTGCTGTTGGTAGACCTTAGCCTTTGTTTTAAAATTACTTTGTATGATTTCTACCTGTATGGTAGCGTGATATAAACGCTTTTCTTCGGAAGAGAATACAGGATAGCTTTCAACAGACATTTCTACCGCGGTGTATGAACTTCAATGGACATCTATTTTCTCTTAATATTTCAGTTAGTCTTTCGGTATAATCATCCATCGAGTCTTCTGTACATACACGCCTAGACCCTTCTGAACAGGCATTCTTTTCCATCTCCGCTTACATTAAGTTAAACAAAAGCTATAGAAACTTAAATACTGCTTTATCCAAGTTGGTTTCCTGTAAATCGACCGTTTATTTAACTGTCTTTCCTACGATTCAGGAGTATATCCAAGAGCGCTAGGTGATTATCTTTTCCTTCTTCATATGTTAAATGTATATTGTCGTGCACGGTGTTAAGTCTTTCTAACAAATATCGCATTTTCATGCTCGTCACATATAACAATTACGTCATCAACATATCTCATAAAAAGTAACTACTAATGAGGTTGCCAGCCGAACTTTTACTATATTGCATATCAATATCAGCTAGCTATGATCCTACGGGACCTCCTATCGCTACATCATCTATTTGTCGATAATGTTCCCGTTCAGATGTGAAATGAACATTATCAGTACACAGCAGTAGCAACTTCTTCAAACGTGTCGGAGAGACAGGGAGAAGAGCAGTCACATATGAAAAAGAATATCAATGGTCTTGGTTAGTTATTTGCAGTTAGTATCTAGTCGTTCCTCGCTATTAGTGTATTTAGAAAACTGACCTAAAACTGAGTTTCCGATAAAAGGTATTGGATGTAACCTCAAGGGAAATGAACTGTCTACACCTTTTTAGTTGTACAACAAGTATTTTGCCTATTGCTAAAAATTATCAAAATATCAGATCGAATTAAAGAGGGTTTCCCCATTTGGATTATAAGTGTAAACCTCTAGGAAAACGTTGCAAAGCTAATATTTACAAACTGGAGGGTTAAATGATAAAATAAGCAGACTTACTGGCACCCAATGCCAGCTGTATTTCTTAACCTGAAGGTGGCGTTCGTTTCTGTTGATCGAGAGTTCTTATGGGAGCGTCTCTCACTGAAAAGGGTGTTGCGTAGGCACACTACTATATTGGATACTCTGTATTCAAACACTTCGGTGTTTTGTAGATCATGTTCGGGTATCAAGTTAGTTGTTCGTTACGGATGTTCACTTTTTGCATTTTTGTTCAACTTTTCATATGACTTTTGTGGATCTATCTCTCTCTCCTCATTTGACTCTGCGAGAATTAACATTGTTGCAGGAAACTCTTTTGTAAGCCTAGGGCATGGAGATGTCAGTTATGATGGGTGGGGACACTGACATGACACAGTCCTCTGGACACCTTAGGTGGCAATTTGAAAATATTTGGGATGTTTCTCAACAACCAAATGCAAGTTAGTCTCTAAAACTGATGTGTTATGGGACCTCATCTAACCACCACAACCGATAGCTAGTACCAAGACGTGGTGACTGGGTTTGTATATTCCAATTAATCCACGAGCTACACTTGCTGGAACGCTTGTTCCCTCAATGTCCTCCCACACCAGAAATATCATTTGGATAGTGGTACGACAAGAAGCGGTTACCGTGATAGTGTAAACAGCTACACTATGATGGAAATCTGAGGACGAAGTTGGGCTGCTCGCTGGATGGGATGTAACAACGGTAAGGTGTTTCCCACAGTACTATGCTGATACTGCCTTTCCTATGGGAATGGATGGTTAGAAACGATTGGCCCTCAAAGTAGCACACTTCTCACTCCCCTGCAGTCTTCCAGTGCAGGTGGTGTGGGTTTCCTCTGTGCGGTGTTAGAACAACTAAATTTCAGACCAACAATCCTCAAAAGTTTGCGGCCACGTATACTTTTCTCTTTCAGGTACCCTGCAGAAATAACTCCCACGGTGTGGGCAACCGGGAAGTGTTAATCGCTCACACGTTTCTAGTAGTATAGAAGATCTACTCAAGAACTACCTATCCTCCTTTATTTTACTCTCTTCTTACCTTCACCCGCTTATATCAGTACAACGACCTCTTGCAACTTCCTCAACCGTGCGACTATTGGCAACAATCCAAAGGAGCGAAACACCATACCTAGTCTCATAAGTTCCTGCTATCAGTTGCACATTGAACTTTTTCATACCTTTATTATTTTGTTTTACATTAAAATTCTTTGTTCATACATATATTAATTGATTAAACCTTCTTAGGCTGAAGCAGAAGCTAAAGTGGATAAGAAAAGAGATAAATTAGAAAGATTGGTTCTTGAATCCCAAGAACGAGCTTATTGGGACTTACATCGACCTCCACCAGGTTGTATAAATACAACAGATATTGATATGCGTAAATTATGTCGTGCTAAACGTCCTAAGAAGACTCCATCTCGACCTGTAAATTTCCCAATTCCAAGTGGCCCAGGTTAGTAGTTTTATAATTTGTGTTAGTGTAGTCCATAAATTATGTATTTGAGATTATCTTACTTAACATTATTACCGTAGGATATGTATTGAAATAAACTTGCGTTGTGTAAGTGAACTAAGATACTGACTCATCCCATGTGGTTATTTTCAGTTGCGAGTTCATTGTAACCGACCTGACCATTCTTTAGTGTAATTACCCATCTTTTTATAAAAATAAATGTTCCTTATCACTCGACGTAGTTAGTTGCCTTATGTTTACAACTGATGTGTTACTGTAGTTGACCTAGTCAAAGGTAAATCGAGAGTTAGTGTGGAGTAAAAGTGTTTGATTAAAGTCTCCAATGGTTTCTTACTTATGATCATATAAATGATACCTTTTGTGTGAAGACAAGTGATGTTATCTGGCTGCCTAGCTATACCTCTGTAGGTGGAGTGGTGTTCAAACCCACTGGTTGAAACTCAAATCTCTAAACCCATGGGTCACAACTCATGTGAACGAAAACTAGTTAGCCGTTAAACGTGACGACATTTCGTCATTCATAGAGAAAAGAAGAGATAATTCAGAGAAGAAAATTCTCTTTTTCGACGATACCATTTTCTGAGCTGTACAATCATATCTATGTATATATCACAAACATATAACAGTCTATTTATTATTGAACAATAGGGTATAATTGCATCATTAACCTAGTGCTAAAAACCGGAATCAAGAATGTAAAGTAGTTACGCTATAATCTTTCAGACAGTAGAAATAACGAGGAAGGCAAGGAGTTTGACAAGGTGAAAATTGTTGTGGTAGATGAGAAGTGCGAATATTGAGTGTCCATTTGATAGATAGATATATGTGAAGAAGGTGAAGAATGAGACAAGGGTCATAATGACGGTGATAGTAATAAACTCACTAACTCAGAGCACTATCCTGCATGGTTGTCAACCGGAGAATGTAAATCAACTAACAGTTCAATGGTTGAGCATTTGGTCAACTCTGGACATAAAGCTCTACTAGAATCCTCCTTGCTGTTATGATCCTGGAGGAGCTCCGTAAAGCTACCGAAGTGCGGGAAAGCAGCAGGACCAGATAGAATCCCGCCAGAAGCACTGAAAACAGACGCAGAGACAACAGCGGACATACTCACACCACTACTGCAGAAGGTCTGGAAGGAAGGGAAGGTACCGGCAGATTAGAAGAAGGGCTATCTTGTCAAACTCCCAAAGAAGGGAGACCTAAGTCTTTGCAAGAACAGGAACTGGTGCGGAATCATGCCTAACTCCTGTTCACCCCAAGCAAAATATTATGCCGCATCATCCTGGGGAGGCTAAAGGATACACTGGATTCAAAACTACGATCGGAACAGGCTGAATTCAGGAAGTACAAATCATGTGCGGGTCCAATTGCAACGCTACGCTAAGCATAATCATAGAAGAGAGTATAGAATGGCAGTCAACCCTCTACCTCAACTTCATCCACTTTGAAAAGGCATTCGACAGCGTTGACCGGGAAGTATTTTGGCAGTTGCTTCAACACTACGGAGTCCCTCAAACCTTTATGAATCTCATTGAACAACTATATGAAGACGCCACATGCCAAGTAGTTCACAGTGGGAAGCTCAGTGATGCCTTTTGGGTGAAGTGAAGACAGGAGTAAAACAAGGCTGTCTACTATCACTCATGGTATTCCTGATTGTAGTGGACTGGATCATCAACAAACAATGACGAGCTGTGAGAAGAGGGGGATACGCTGGACCGCGGAAAAGAACCTAGAAGATTTGGATTTCACCGATGACTTGTATCTAGTGTCTTGTGGCACAAACTTGAAGATCTACAGGCGAAAACTAACAAGTTGACAGAAGAGGTGAGGCAGCGAAGGAAGACGGGACTTCAAGTGAATATAGAGAAGACAGAGGTGATAAAGATACCCAACCAACAACAACAACAACAAGCTCCGATCACCATCAATGGGAGGAACTTAAAAGAAGTAGCCTCTTTCACCTATCTAGTCAAAGCAGCACTATTTCAACTACAGGTGGCACAGACGAGGACATCAAAGCCAGGATCGGAAAGACAAAAAGACAGGCGTTCATTAGCCTGAAACCAGTGTGGAGATCTTCTGCACTCCACTCAGCATAAAGCGTGAGCAACATCCGGATTTTCAACACCAATGTCAACTCAGTGCTTCTGTATGGCTCAGAGACTTGGCGCGTTATGAAAGGCATTTCCAGCAAATTACAGACATTCATCAACAACTGCCTATGCTGGCTCGTTACTGAAGATCAGATGGCCAGAATAGTCAGAATAAGCAACAAGGAACTGTGGCTGTCAACGAACCAACGAAGCAAGAATCTATTGCTGAACAAATAATAATATGCAGAAGGAAGTGGAGATGGATTGGATTGGGTATACACTGAGAATACCGACTGGGGACATCACGCGTCAGGACCTCAAGTGGGACCCAGATGGGAAGCGACGAGTTGGGCGTCCGACGTGAGGGTGACATAGAGGAGATGGTGTGAGGAAGAAATGAGAGCTTGTAGGCTGTCGTGGAACCAGGTTCAAAAGTTTGCAGAGAACAGAGTGCACTGGAGACGTGCTACTGAAGCCCTATGTTCCATTAGGAACCCATTCGATAAATAAATAATAATAATAATACGCCTTCGACAGTTGTGCACAGGAGAAACACTGGCAGTTCAGCAGTCCAAACCAGATCTCTGCATTCAAAAGTAGTATGTTCAATCTCTTGTCTTAACACTTACACATTTTTCGATTTCATTATAATCAGTTTATTATTATCACCATCATTATGACCCTTGTCTCATTCTTCACCTTCTTCACATATATCTATCTATCAAATGGACACTCAATATTCGCACTTCTCATCTACCACAACAATTTTCACCTTGTCAAACTCCTTGCCTTCCTCGTTATTTCTACTGTCTGAAAGATTATAGCGTAACTACTTTACATTCTTGATTCCGGTTTTTAGCACTAGGTTAATGATGCAATTATACCCTATTGTTCAATAATAAATAGACTGTTATATGTTTGTGATATATACATAGATATGATTGTACAGCTCAGAAAATGGTATCGTCGAAAAAGAGAATTTTCTTCTCTGAATTATCTCTTCTTTTCTCTACGACTCATTGGGCATGTTTTGTCGTCTAAATTTGAGCAAGGACCCTGTGGCAGTGAAGGAAGTCGATGGATTTCTGAAGTTTCCTGTCAAACTTGCCGTATCGAATACATGGATTTCATCGTTCATATTAATGCATGTGAACAACTATGGACAAGAATTCAAATTTGAAAATGTAGAGATACTGGCCAGAGGAAACACAAAGAATATCTCAGAGATTTCCTATAGGCTTTCTATTCAAGTTAATCGGTAATCAATAGATGTATAGACATCAACCTGATCTATCGACCAATAATAAAAATGATAAACGACTTAACGGTCAAAGGTCAGGCAGAGAAGCAGTCAACAGGAAAATCAGTGCAGTCGATGACACAACAATCAAAGAAAGCAATCAATCACAAACCGTTTCATCATAGCAAGCTACTGAATTACTCATGGAGAAATCGTATCCGCTTACCTCATACTGAAGTTATTGATAAGATTGTCGAGAAAAAAAATATGAAAGCTTCACTGTTAAGCCATCCAGCTCTCAGAGAATGCAACGCAGCTAAGATCATCCACCTGTGACACAAATATTCTCCTCCACTTCAAAATTAAGTTTATGTCATTGCCTCAAACATTAATCATAAAAGCGGTTAATTTAAGGTAACTAAGAATTTAATATCTTACTTCTTTGTTTTAGTTTGCTTCCCCTCAATGGGCTTATGTGAAGTGTGACAAGTTGCATTGATATACAGCTATACGAGGTCGTTTGTTGTTTATATTCATATACAGTTGGTAGATGTAGCTCAATGGCTTAAACACTCGGCTCTTAGCCAATGGATCTTGGGTTGACCCTAACCTGAAGAGCTTGTATTAGGAATCGATAGTAGAGGTATGCCATAAGTTGGTTGTAAATGAGAAAACACTAGTTAGTAACTCGTAGTCTATTTATTTTATAATAGTACCTTCTCCATAAGACTGAAAACTTTTATTTCAAATCCCTCTCTAATCCTAGACGGGGATTTCCGCCTACATTTTGATTCCTTGAATTTTTTTTGTTCATCTCATTCAACGTTAATGTATATCAAAAAAAACCCTACTAAAATCAATATTCTTTAGTTAGATGAGTATCTGGAGCTATAGTCCATTGATCTGGGCGTCGGGTTTTCAACCATTAGCTTATAGATTTGAACTCTGCTGCATTTATCAAGTGTCTGGGCCATCAGGTAGTATCATTAACCCTCGTGTACTTGATGTAGCTTGTTCCCTGATGCACGAAACTGTACAAAATTATTGAATTGCATTTCTGTTATATTGATCTTAGTGACTAGCAGATGAATCTAGGACGCACGTTTTGTCTTATTTCGGATTCGTCAGCTAGTATCTGCGCCTCAATTAGTGATGTTGTCTCCCACTTCCAGCTGACGAGTCCCGAATAGGACGAAACACGTATGCTGGGTTCCTCTGCTAGTCACCAAGATCAATATAACATCGTGAATAACCAACAATATAGAGGCATCTGTATAGGAACCGATTTTCCAACAGAAGTCAAGCAATTCAGCCCTGCATAGCAACGGGAAATAACAGGTATGATTACAATCAGCTGCATTTCTATTCTTCCAACTGATTAACTTTGTTTTTCTTAAGTATACTTTCCTATTTTGCATTTGTTTTCATTTTATTCTACACCTACTTTATTTAGATGGATCTATTTTATTCTCAATTTTGGATAGTCTATCACTGAGAGATCGGATAGCTAAACTTCAAGCTTGTTCACGTACAAGGATTAAATTGTCAAAAGCTGCTGAGAGTTTACAAGTACGTATTCATTGTTCGATTCCTCTTACTTTTAAATGCCTTAGGTGAAAACAGCTGAATATATATGAACTGTATACAAGTTTTCATGTTATAGCTTGTAAGTCTCCGTTGTCGATTGCACCAAATTGATCGATCAATATTATCTAAACTGAAAATCCTGGCAATGTCGAGACATTCGCAGAGGAGCCCATATAGCCGATCAATTTGGTCTAATCATCGATGAAGACGTACAAGCTATGATATCAAGGAAACCATCCCATACCCATCACACAAGAAGTGGTTATCGTTACTCAGTGGCCTATTGGATAACACTCGGACGTTTAAAGCGATTGGTCCTGGGTCAGAATCTTGGGGGGAATAACGTCGCTCACCGGGAGGCAGGTATATCCAGCTGACGAGTCCCACATAGGACGAAACGCGTGTCATGGATTCCACTGCTAGCCACTATCCATCATTAATATGTTTCCAAGCTTTTTCATTGGGAATACGGATTACATATATGGCACAATTATTGACTAGGGCAGTAATAATGCCATAGATAGTAGTACTACACACCAATAAAAACTGAAGGAGGAAGAGTGACTGTGAACCACTTAAATGCTCAAGAAATTAATGCAGAAAAATCAATCAATTGATAAAGTCTTTGAATATTCATCACTTCAAACGCATAGGTGTTACACATCTGATGAGCTGCATCTTTTGTGTGAAGACTTGTAACACCAGTTAGCTACCTAAATCTTTCTTAGTGAAGAGTGAGGGCTTGTCGTTAACACACGGCTCATTAATTGACTTTGAAGTGCTGCAGCTGCCTCCAGACTATAACTTTAACCTATTTACTACTGATTATTTTAGAACTTTTCTGATCAATATTCTGAATTTGACCTGCTATTGTCTGCATCAATGTCGATTGGTTTTTCTGCTCCCTCTGGAACTGGAATTAGTCAACCGACTACAGCTGCTTCTATTGGTCAATCGGCATCAGCTGGTCTAAATGTGAATGCTAATACTGCTTCTGCTTCTTCTACTGCACCTGGATCTATTTTACGTGCATCTGGGGATAAATTAATTCATCATACTCGAAGTATTTCAGCTACTGGTTTTAATGGGATCACATCGCTAACTTCTATGTCACTTGCTCGTACAGGCAGTGCAATGGGAAACGGTGCACAGAATATGACAACGAGTGGTCAAATTTCTAGTGGACACGGATCAGCTGGACATATGATGAATGTTGCTAGTGCACCTAATTCAGGTAATTGATTGTTTTAATTTATTTTCGCAGTCCTCCTGCATAACATGGTGTGAACGTTTGCTATGCAGGCGTTTTTAGAATTATATTAGAGAAAAAGAAAACAAGAATGGACTTAGTAGCTTCCGAAACCTTGGCAGGTGGAGCGGGCTTCGAACCCGTGACCTGCTGTTTGAAAGTCGATTCCCTTAACCAATGATTCACAGTATTTACTTAAATTTTTATAGAAATAATAAACAAGACTAAATAAACACGAACGTTTCTGTAGTTGAGGTGGGATTGACTTGTTTAGCAATTCGGCTTTCACACAGTGAACCCAGGGTTGAAACACTTCCTCCACTTACTTCGAACTTGGTTATTTGGTAGTATCATAAGCCGTCACATTCTGGGTGTAACTCATAACCTGGAACTGTGTCTCATTGGTTCAGGGACATGACTTTCGAATGGTGGGTCACGGGTTCGGGCTCCGCTCCATCTGCCGAGATTTGGGCAGCCAGGTACTATCACTAGCCGTTACACAATAGGTGTGACTCATTGCTTTCTGCATGAGTGTGCACAAGGTTGATAAGTGCAGTTCACTCTCATATAGTCTGGTAAGTAAATATGTAATAAGTTACTGAATTGCTCCTCTGATAATCATCAGGAACCTGTTTTGGATTCCTATTTGCAGGCAACAAACTGCTAAGTTTCACATTCAACTTAAAAAGTATCCGGTTTTCCTTAGTGTTTTAGCTTGTACTTCTCGGTCGTTGATTAGACCGAATTGATCGGCCACTATTGGTATATAGGCTCCTGTGCGGATGCCCCGATGTTGCCCGTCATTTCAATCTTGATATTAATGATGGGTAGTGGCTAGCAGTGGAGTCCACGACGCTCTTTTCGTCACACTTGGGACTCGTCAGCTGTATGCAACTGCCTCCTAGTGAGCGGTATTGTTCCCACTAATATTCGGACCCAAGACAGATGGCTTCAAATGTCCGAGCGTCATTTACTAGACCGCTGAGTCACGACGACTACTCCTCGTACGACGGGTATGGTTTGGTTTTATTGATGTTATACCTTGTAAGTCTTGCAAGTTATTGAATGAACCGAATTGATCGTACAAGCTATAATATCAAGAAAACCATGCGATACATGTCGCAAAAAGAATGGCTGTCGTGAATCAACGACCTAATGGATAACGCTCTGGCGTTTGAAGCGACTGCTCTTGGGTTTGAGTCCCGGTGGGAACAATATCGGTCACCAGCTGACGAGTCGTAACTAAATAGGATGAAGCGCGCGTCGTGGATTCCAGTACTAGCTACTATCCGTCATTAGTGTTTAGATTTGTTATTTCTTTGGTTTGAAGATATCAACTGAAGAGTTGCAAGAAAAAGATTTTGACTTCTGATCGGATTTTTTTTTTAGAAGTCTCAGTTTTTTCATTTTTATGACACTTCATTCTAAGCATCCAACATTGAATAAATAATGTTGAATATCCTGTTTTTTGTTTTGTTTTCTTGTTAAAGTGAATCTGTTTTGCGGTCATTTGGATCCTACTACATTCATCACTGGCTACATCTTTGAGTTACTTTTTATTTCCTAAAGTTCCAATGACTGGACATCATTATTAGCTTTTTTGTTATAAGGGAATTGCAAACAAGAGTGTAACTGATGAATTGTGTTACCGAAGACGGGACTTCAGGTGAACGTAGAGAAGACAGAGGTGATGAAGATACCCAACCAACAATAACAAGAAGCACCAATCACCATCAACGAGAGAAATCTAAAGGAAGTTGTCTCTTCCATATACCTAAGTAGGGTAGCATCGTTTCAACTTCAGGCGGCGCAGATGAGGACGTCAAAGCTAGGATCGGAAGAACAGCAAGACAGGCCTTCGTTAACCTGATATCACTGTGGTAATCTACCGCACTCAGTATAAAGCGTGAACAAGCTCAGGATTTTCAACACTAATATCAGTGCTTCTGTGTGATGGCTGAGAAACTTGGTGCGTTACGAAAAGCATTTCCAACAAACTCCAAACATACATCATCAACAGCTGCCACCTACGCTCACTCGATACTGAAGATCGATCAGATGGATGGCCAGAAAGTTCTATACATAAGTTGTTTCAAATTAAGCAATCCTGTTTACCAGTAAAAAGAACCACCTGCTTGTCCAGACTATGAGTTAGTTGGAACATAGATAAGATCTGCAACTAGACGTTCATTTCTTATAATTTTGATTCCAAGTAAGTATTCATCATAGACTGATATCGATTGGAGAAACATTGGAAACCCGAGAGCACTGAACATCTGTTTCGTCCTAGTATAGGACTCATCAGCAGTGTGCATCCGTGACCCTGCCAAGGATCATTCGTTGTTTAGTTAGTTACTCTGACTTATCCCATCGATTGGAATAAGGTACTTATCATAGCCTTATTTTTGCTGTTTTTTTATTGCATTTCAGTTTATGATCCATCACAGGAACCGGTCAGTGCATTAAATCCATGGATTTCAGATAATCCGGACTATTGGAATACAGATATACGCCCAAAATACTTGCCTATTCGCCGTATTAAACGTTGGAGTTTTTCTATTCATGAATTACTAAAAGATCCAGTTGGCTTAGAAGAATTTCAGCGTTGGTTAGAAAAAGAATTTTCAGCAGAAAATTTAAGATTTTGGCAAGCTTGTCAAGTAAGAAATGTCTATATTCATACGTGTTGATGTGTTTATCGTCTGCTCTAATTGGGAGTTCGATTTTTTATTACTATTATTGTTTTCATTATTATTATAGTTATCATGTATGGTGTCGAAATATTTAGATTTGGATTATAACATCTCACTCTCCCTAATATTAAAGATAAAACTTATGAGGGTCTACGTAAACAGGTCGTTAGACGATAACTGCCATCATCCTATCAGTCTGAACCGGTTACGAAAGTGTATGCTATCTGGTTAAACTTCACGAAATAGTCGAAATATATGACTACCAGATCTGTGATTCATTGACTCACAAGGATGACTTTCAAATCAATGGGTAACACATTCGAACCCCACTCCACCTAGGGAAGTTTGGGCAGCCGGTTAGTATCACCAACCCTACCTAACATGATAGGTGTAGCTAACTGCTTACTACACGAATGTGCACAAAGGTGCTGAGTATATTTCGTTCGTTTATGGAGATGTTATCATCACACAAAAGTAAAGTGTGGTAACTTAGACCTAAACTCAATTTGGTTATGTCCTATATTGTTCATATATATGTATTCCTCTAAACTGATCGACTGCATGCCTCTATCTGTAGAATTTCAACAACATTGAAAGCTTTAATTACCGTCTAAAATTCAGTTCGTTCATGCAGTATAGTTCTACAAAAGGAAACTTACTAGCTGAATGGTTCATTGTCAACCATTTAGACTACTCTACTGAATGAACGGGTATGAGTTTATGTAGCAACTAAAAGAATAAGGGTTGTTAGTCCATGACGAATGCCACCCTGAAGTCAGTCACTCCCCACAAACCCCCATGCTAAATTACTTTCCAGTGTTCATTAACGACTTGCTTCGAAATGGATTTCCTGAAGTTCGAATAAGAAACCGTGACATGTGGGGTCAACCAAGTCGGATGTGAGGATTAATACTTACCGATGACACTGGATCTATCCATCCAAATCAACATAAGACCAGGCATTACTGTGTAACGATCAGAGTCGCCACAGCTCATATGAGTGCATCAAGTAAAAAGGCAGTGAAGTGAAAAATGAAGAAAAGAAAATTCAGTCAAAAGAGATATAAAGTACTCAAAGAGAGAAAGGAAGAATAAGAAAATGGTGAGATTCGGTATAGCGTCGTTAAGATGAGGATAATATGTGTATACGTCTGGGCCACTGATATCGGTTCTGAGACATTGTACGTCGCCTAGAATCTCCAACCACTGGTTTCTCTTGTCTCGTCGACCCCAACCACCCAGTCTGCATCGCCCCACATGTTTTATTCTGGCCGCCTCGAGCCTTTTTCCAGCTTGAATCTACTTCGACCGACATTGTGTGACGAAGCAGACGGCGACTAGGCATACGTAACACATGTCGCAGCCAACCCAACGCATCCCAAATATTATCAAATTGCTACTCAAAGTGTCGAGAAGACTCTGCATCTTGTCAGCGTCATCATCTAACAGGACTATGTCATCTGCCATAAGACTTTTCGATCAACGGAGTCGAATTTCGCCTTCAGGTCGTGAAACACAGCTATTGTCGGGCGTCGGTAAGCGTGCCTCTGTTCCAGAACCTGGCGGAATGTGCATATTCGGTTGACACACTCACGGCCGGGTCTAAAGCCTATCTGGTTTTCTCGGGCTTGATATCAGATGATGGTTGCAGCATATCGCGAATTGATAGGACTAAGAAAATGCAGACAGTTGGATTATGACCTAGTGACTGAATGGTAACCTGGTTTCCCGCGAAACTTGAAGGTCCTAAGTTCGATTTCTGGCGAGGTCGTGGGTACGTAGTGCTGAGGAGGACGAAACCGCTGTCCAGTACTCTCAGTTTCTCAGTGGTTCTCCAGCTGATTTCAGCCCATGATGGATACTACCCCGAGACGTATGTATTATCATGGGGAAAAGTTTATCATAGCCCTTAACATAACTTTTTATTTACTTATTTATTTATAGGTACTTAAAGGTGCCCCACTACGTGAAGTACGTCAATCCATCATGAGTATATATCAGCAGTACCTAGCACCGAATGCAGTGGAACCAATTAATATTGATAGTAGGATTGCTGATCTGGTCAGACGTCATATAGATGATGAATCGAATACAACACCGAATCGTTATTGTTTTGAAGCAGCTGAAGAGCATATCTTTCATTTAATGAAATCAGATTCCTATTGTCGTTTTCTACGATCTGATGTCTATCGTGAACTATTTCGTGGTGGTAAAAAGAAATCAAAGAAACAACGTAGTGGAATAAATACTAGCACTAGTTCAGCAGCTGGTACTGGGATTCAAATTGGTGCTGTAGTCAACTTTACTGGAGTGGAATAAAAAGAGGGATACATTTGTGTAATTACGTGTGCTTCTTCTTTTTCTCTCAATAATTTTTTTGATTTTCATCATTTGTAATTAAGAATGATCACATTTTCATTCTCATTATGATCTGTGGTCTGTACAAAATATGCTACAGATGTCTGAGCATTTGTTTAGTATTTTAGGACATAACTACTCACAAGTAGTATATTCTGAGGTTATTTGTCAGTTAATTTTTTTATTAACTTACCCTACACTCATCAATGTCAACATAGTAGTTGAAGGGGTGGGGGTGGGGTGACTATAAAATATTTCAAACTGTTACCCTATCACCTTATCTGAAACGCCACACCGTCAGCAAAATTCATACTATACCATTATAGATACTCTAAGTTATACTGTGATATGTATTTTATCTCGCTTTTCTTATCAGATTTAAAATCCCTATGCATTTATTTACTCATACAACAATATCTGTACTTTGATTATGAATGTGCAATCTATGCTTTTCAGATTTCGAATGATCTCCTTAATATTTCTTTACTGATGTACTTTTTTTCTTCTCGGCCGGATCATCCAGTTTGGATCCACTCATTATTGTGTTAAACCGCTTTTTCAGCTCCACTTCCCATATGCTGGCCTATACTTTGCATTGAGTAGAAATGTTTCTGTTTTCATATGTGATTCCTCTTTATGCTGCATATAATTTAAGTATTTAACACCCCATGTTTGCATTTGATATAATCTGACTTGTGATTTTGTTTTGTTGAACACGTGTAATAAGTGACTTCGAACTGTTCAGATGAAATTTTGCTTTCATTCTTTTAACTACTTATAATGTTTATTTAAGTAGCCACTCGTTGACTTTATTCATTGCTCACTGCTGTAGTGATTACTTGGTTATCATTATTGTTGTTACCTATTCAACTTTTTCACCTAACTAAAATACTATGACTTTGGTGAAATCATTTCAGTTGTTTCGCTAAATATTTCGTTGTACGAGGGGGCGTGAAATGATACCAACGTGGTCTTTAAGATTAACGGTTATTTATGGCTGTTAGTTCGTTGTCAAACTGGTGAGCGTTTTCAGCGTATGCTTCCTTCATGTAGTAGTCCAAGTAATTAATTTCTCTCTGGTCATTTGAATAATTTCAACCTTCTGTTGAACAAATCTCTTTTCCACAAAGATCTTAAGGTTCTATTTCTCGATAAGCTTTTTGTATGACAGCCATAGAAACAAATATTCATGAAAATAATGGCAAAACTAGTCTTCAAAGCAATCGATGTGAAATCTATTAACTTACTCCTCTCCACTTATGAACCTTAAACCCGATGAAGGTTTCTCACGTATTTCAATATTATATTTCCTAGATTAGAACGACACCACGATTCGTACAATCCTTGTGAAAGTTTACCTCAGAAACTGTCTCATATGTTAAGCAATAACCCGAGTTCCAATTCACACTATCATTCCTTCCTGTAAGAACTGATCACCTACACATGGAGTTCCCTCCGTTATATCAAGTTGTCCAACAGTCAAGTTTGTTCGAAGCACTTTCTGTCGATACCTTAACAAAGAGATTGGGTCTCCACGTTACTGCCATCTTCATTTTTATTAATTCTGACATACTGATGTGAGAATGGTGTTCACAATAGGTGGGTATCAGTCGATTAAAAGTCAGTTATCAGCATTAATGAATCCAAACGAGGTGTTGTGACCAACTGAAAAGTGTGATACACTAAAGTGAACCTCAATAGCCATCAAAAGTGACTTGCTTTTGTTGTAATTGGTCGACTTCAATGTCTCATTTCGATAATCTCTCAGCACTTCTATATATGCTTTTACGAATCTTATTCAATACAATTATGAAACCATTCCATCACTTTACTGAAGTTGGCTGTTTGAAAATACAGAGTGAACAAAACTACTCAATATGTCAGTAATGAAAGAAGGTATACTTTACCAAAAGCTCTCTGAACATGGACTGTAAATCAGCGAAGCGAATGTAATAATCACCCATAAAATATCATGTTATATTCTATGAAATTTTCACTGTGTAATTTCATTAAGATTAATGTTTTAGAGACATACCGAAATAATATTTTCCATAGAATAATTCAGGCCAAACACTTAGAGTAATAATGGGATATTGGAGCTATGATCGTATACAATTAGAACTTTAATCTACAGATAATTGTTGCAGCATAAATAGTTACCCTGGATGGAGAATGCGAACAAACTGCATAAACTAGGCACAATAAGTTGATATGCAATAAATGCTTAATAAAGAAGCGTAAGCATGAGAAGTCTATTCCACGAAGCGACTGTTTACTTTCTCATCCCTTCCAAGCATTGTATTCATATCTTACCCATCAGTGTGCTAGGAAAATAGACGCATGTGTTGTCTCTAAATCTTACATACTTCTTAATGGAATATTTGAATATCAGAAGTCACAATTACACACTGACGTTTGCAAAAATCCACTTTAGTAGTCAGATTCGAGTTTTAAACTAAAGTGTAATTAGTGTTATTGCGTGTACTACACCGTCATTGATTATTGGACCGAATTAATCAGTCTCTGTTGGCTCCTGTGCGGATGCCTCGATATTACCTGTGTTTTAATTATGTATAGTAATGATGGTTAGTGGCTAGCAATGGAATCCAGGATGCGCATTTCGTCCTATCAAGAAGTGGTGTAGTGCATAACGCTCCCGCATTTGAAGCGATCGCTCCCGAGTCCGAATCCCAGTGGGAACAACCACTCACTGGGAAGCAGGTACATCCAGCTGACGAGTCCCAAATACGACGAAATGAGCATCCTGAATCCCACTGCTAGCCACTACCTGGCATTACTATACATAAAGTGTAATTGATCTTATATTCTTTAATATAGGTGTAAAACTGGCACACTGGTGGAATGTGATTCCATATTATATTTGTTTATTTGATTTATAACAAACAGTAATACAGTATTACTTACTTGATGACGTTTCGAGCATAAATTATCATTGCTCATAATCATATCAATGTAATCACACACCACTCTTGACATCTGATTTTTATAGTCGTGTCAACCCACCCACCTCATATTCTGTTTCTAATGGTAGTAAAATTTTCCTTATCTCTGGTACAGATGGCTGTTGCGTCATTCCCAGCACACTTGTGTTGGCTGTTGATTCGATAAACAAAGATACAGCAATCAGTCTCACTCTCCGTCTCCACCTAATTATATTGGACCTGAGTACAGCGGCTTTATCCCACCGTATTGTGTTTGTGCATCCACTGCAATAGCCAAGTGTTTTTCTAGATTAGTGATCTTATTTGAGTCTGTTATTCTATATTTAGCGAGATTCCTATGTTCGACTATTCTAACTTCCACCGACTAGTTTGACCTATGTACTTGACCTCACAGTCATTACATGGAATTTGATAGAATAGGTTATTTTACTTTATTGGTTCTATCGGATCCTTAAGCCAGTCGACAAAGCTTATCTCTTGTCTGAGTGAGTTTGTAGGTTTAAATGCCACCCCTAATTCCAGTTTTGTTGAGGATCCTTCGTGAAGTTTCTGATGTACCCTCCTTGTAGGGTAACAAAGTGGAGGCTGGGAACTCTTTTGTACTTGTGTTGTAGCTATTTTTCATGGCCTTCATTGTGTTACCCTGCTAAGAAAGCACATCAAAAACTTCACGTAGGATCCTCAGCGAAGCTGGGATTAGGGTGGCATTTAAACCTACAAAGTCACTCAGATAGAGATAAGCTTTGTCAACTGGCTTAAGGATCCGATAGAACCAACAAAGTAAAATAACCTGTTCTATCAAATTTCTTGTCTAGGCAAAGATCTTAAAACTTTGCATTGCACACCATAAATCCATCAAAAGAAGAAATGCACTCGGTAACCACGTGCACATTCATGTAGTAGGTAATGCGCCATACCTATTGTGTTAAGGCTGATGATACTCTCTGGCTATCCAAACCTCGGTAAGTGAGCGTTGTTCGAACCCAATGACTAAAAACGATCTCCCCAAAACACTCAGTCACAGCTCCACTTTGTAAAATCAATACGTGTATATTCAGGCTGCTGACATGGATCATAATTGCTGGCCGGACATATGAAAGTGAAATAAGCTCAGTAAAGTTTATCAAAGGACTGAATCATTTGAAATGGTCAAAATAAAACTTCGTGTATTGTTAATGATATCAAGCGGATTGCATTCCCTTACCTTTTTATTTATAATTTCTACAACAAAGCATGATTGCATTGGCTATTGTGTTCCGCTTTTAAGTTGATTGTAACCTCTTGTTTGGATTCACTAATGTTGATAACTGACTTTTAATCGACTGATACCCACCTATTGTGAACACCATTCTCACATCAGTATGTCAGAATTAATAAAAATGAAGATGGCAGTAACGTGGAGACCCAATCTCTTTGTTAAGGTATCGACAGAAAGTGCTTCGAACAAACTTGACTGTTGGACAACTTGATATAACGGAGGGAACTCCATGTGTAGGTGATCAGTTCTTACAGGAAGGAATGATAGTGTGAATTGGAACTCGGGTTATTGCTTAACATATGAGACAGTTTCTGAGGTAAACTTTCACAAGGATTGTGCGAATCGTGGTGTCGTTCTAATCTAGGAAATATAATATTGAAATACGTGAGAAACCTTCATCGGGTTTAAGGTTCATAAGTGGAGAGGAGTAAGTTAATAGATTTCACATCGATTGCTTTGAAGACTGGCTCGTGAAGAGTTTGGTTGAAAACCGTGTGTTTTCATACCATGTGTTTATTCATTTATTTTCAAAAATGTCGTCTATACATCAACTTCCAGTCAATAGTGGTCTTCCCAATTGCTTCATAAAAGGTGATTTTAGAAATCTGACATTAAACTTTGAAATGTGTTTTCATTATGAATTGTTAAATGCCACATTTTTTTTGTCTTTTGAAGCCATACCCTTAGAATGCTATGAAACAGGAAGTTTTCAACTTGGATATACGTCTTGAATACTTCATGTATGCGAATATCCATTAATTCTCCTAGATGAAGTAGGTTTTCGGCTATTACAAACAAACTTATGATGTAGTTCCTTAAACTTCAATATTTCTTCTTGCCTCTTCTTATGTATTAGGTTCGCATAACTTTCCTACTATTGTAGGAAACGACAAAATGGAGACAAAGGAAGGAATGTTAATTATTATTGACATCTTGTACAGTACTCATCAACTATTGTACACCTTCCACTAAGAATATCATTTCCATAATGTAATTCATTTACTCTTCTGCTTCTCTCTTGATTTCTTCTTAATACGCCCACATTTTCTCTTGCGTTTCTCTGGTGACAATCTTTACCCATTGGTGGTAATTGTCTATGATTTCTGCCACCCTCTCAACATATACTACTTATATTTATCCTGATAAGCAGCGCCCACTACACTATCACTTCCTTCGCCTTGAAAGTTTTGATCACTAAGCTCTTCTTGTAATTATCTGTGTCATACTGTCAATATAAACTGTCATGTTAAAATCTTCAAGTCTTCCCAGCAGGAATAATGTCCAGAAACATGAGGCAGAAAGCATCTTTTCGCTAACTAATATTCTTTTCTTGTGAGGGAAAAGGTGGCTACCCGACTCAACTTAGTATTTCTCAAAGCTAGTACGTAAGCTGTATTGAACATATCTTTCTTTTCATTTAGTTTGCCTATCAAGTGGAGATAATTATTAAGTTCATTATCTTCAGAGAGCTGTAATACATTCTGTAGTTTGGTTAGAATTTAGATCAAATTGATCTAACCGTTTGTTTCCGAAGATGAGCTTGTCAATAATATTGGACTTAGAAAACAGTTTTTTGATTACATTGCACTGCCAACCCTTTTTAAAAAGGTGGTCATTAAATATTTTTTGTTATCTGTCTACAGTGTCATAGTATGCTAACTGAAGTGGGTTCAAGCTAGAAAAAGATGAAAATCTGCCAATCTAAAGAGTAATATGAGTCCATGAAGTCTTTGATTGTTGATCCAATCCTTGTAGTAAAGTGTAAAACTCTCAGTTGGTTCGGAATAGATCTCATTAGCACAGATATATCCAAACATTATGTGGAGTTTCGTTATTGTTCCATTCCTCCTAGTTCTCTTTTTTCCACTTTCATTTTTGATTACTTTCTCCTTGATGTGAAGTTTG